TTGAGACAGTCTCAAATTTTCGTCTCAGAATCGTCTCAAAACTGTCTGAGAACTTTCGTGGGTACCGCTCCAGGAAATTCTGTACCTTTTTGGCGTTGGGGCGGAGTCCGGCTGAGTCGACGGTGTCCCAGTCTGTTTGGAAAAGAATTGGCATTTCTTGACATTTATTGTCAGGTTCGCGTCGGCAAGGCGCTAGAAGACTTGTTTCATTTCCTAAGACCAAAGGGCATTCTAGTGAAAACAAAATGTCCATGGGGAGTAGAAAAGGCGGTGAGGTCCATTGAAGATGGATCCATCTCGACTTGCAAGAATCCATGTGCTAAATCTATCGACGAAAAAATAGCATGACCTTCACTTACTTCTTGGAGAAGAGTGCGTATCGACGGTATGGGGTAGTGGTCAGGAACGGTGGCTGTGTTCAGGCGGAGCGCAGAGATCTATCCTTTTTGGATACGAGGAGCATCGAAGATGACCACGGTGTCTGAGAAGATTCGATGATGCCCTGGGCGAGCAAGGCGTCGGTGGCTTCTTTGAAGGCAGCTCGACGGCTGTGAGGGATACGGTAAGAGAGTACGTAAATAGGCTTCGTACCAGGAATGAGGTCGATGCAATGTCGAAGCACACTAATGCGACCCAGGGGTCGGTCCTTGGTTGGTTGTAAGGAGAACTCTTTCAGTAGTCGTCGAAGAATATCATCTGCAAAGTCCATAGGCGGGACTCGCACAGTCTCTTCAGGTCCGGGTGCGTTAGGGGCGTTCATAGTAGGTGACATGTTGCAAACAGGTGCGAAGGGGAGGAGGGTCTGCTTCAATGAGATGAAGGTCGGTGACCTCACAGTCCCATGACGCAGGCGAACAGGAGTGCAGGTTGCGTTGATCATGCGCATCGCACTCTTTCCGTTGGCTACCTCGCAGATCGCGGGGAGAGCACAGTCTTTTCACATGGATGCAGCCAGGTGTGACAAGCGCCGCCCCATCCGGAGATGTGACACGCACACGAACTATCAGTCTGCGAAAGGGGGCAGCGTGAGATTTGAGGAGACAAGGCAGGCAGGCGCGTCCGTCTGGGGTGCCCAAGAGAATGATGGGAATTTGTTAATGACGTTCGGTGTCGTCGAAGTTGTATGGCAGCGATTCTTAAGATGCTACTTAGGGGCTTTGGTGGCGAAGGACGAGCGTCGAGTTGGGTCGTCTTTTGGAGAGTCGTCCGGCGTCGGGGAGACTGAAGGGAGTTGCGATGGAGACATGGCAGCTGCAATTGTACTTGCAGAGTTAGAAGAGGAATGCCAAATAGAACTCGGTGTGGTAAGGCGGGAGACGTTGGTGAGTGACGGTATATCTGTCAGGGAGATGGGAGATGAGCATCTTCTACGACAACGAACGGAAATGAGTATTTTTCACTGGAGAGGGTAATGTTGAGTTTGACTTCTCCCATGACCTTGAGGGAAGTTCCACTTGCGGCTCGCACGCACCACTTCGAAGGACGGACTGGGGTAAGGGCATTGAAATCCACGATCGTTGAGAGAGGGACGAGGCTGACGGTGCTGTCGCTGTCAACGAAGAAGTATGCAAGTCGTCCTTCAAAGACTGTAGGGAGGAGATGATGATGATGTCGTCTACTGCTCTGATGGTTGCAGTGAGCAAGGTTCCTGTAGTAGGGGCGCGGCTTCTAAAAAATTATGAGCTAGTTTGTGTAGAATTATTCTGAGATCGCAGTGCATCCTTGTTTTTCTTAACAAGATGTGGGAATCTTCTGCAAGCATGCCATAAATGACCTTCTAGATTATGGTAAGAGCAGAAAGGGGTACAATTACATTCCCAAGAGTGGTGCCCT